CGTTCTTTTTCGGGGGGGGGGGAGAAGCGAGATATTAAGCAGCGTAGGAATCTGTGGCCAGAGAAACAACTGCGAAAAACAAAACGACTGAAAATATACAGCACGAGTCATTGGATTAGACGTTCTTTTTCCCTCGCTTTCTCTCATGGCGCTGTTACACTACTATTGCGCTCCCCGGAAAATTAGAAGAACGCCTGGTCGCAGATTGTTACGTTGGGTCGACGTTCGACTTGCGTGGGCATAACTAATGAATCTTTTACATATTGTCGGTTTTTCCCCAAGTGCGCTTGATTGGTATTAAGGGCCCATGACACGAAATCTTTTTTCGTATTTTATGCAGGTTAATAGCTCTATTTAAAATTAGAAATAATCGACCTTTGCGCCTAGGTAAGGTACAATTTGGCGGCCAGAAAGTTTCACCATTAAGCACGCGGCCAAATCGATCATGCTACAGCTTGTGACGTAGAAAACTTTGAAGACACGTCGGCAACTATGGTAGAGAAAGGAGAAATCTAGAAGAAAGAACGAATGTATTGCGTGGCTGGAGTGCTAAATGGTGTTAACTACAAGAATAATACACATATATCGGGTATTTCTATATACTACATTCCAAAGGATGTAGCTGTATGGCCAAATGGGTGCGTTCGATCGTCGACATTGAGGAGATTTTAGTCTTCAATGTCGTCGGCTTTATGCTCCGTACCGGCTTCGAAGACGGCTGTTACGAACACGTACCACCAGACAAATCAAGGGAAGACAATCAATGACTTAAGCTAAAAGAATGCTGATTAAGGAACCTGTTCCCACACCGTGAACGATTGTTCAACTTTCTTTTCAGCTGACATGTCGCAAGCAAACAATGGTGAGTTCCTCACTGTAGTTTGTTTCACTAGTTGAGATGTACTAATACTCCTTGTCTTTCGACATGACTACATTTGCGCTTTTCTCAGTATCATATGAAAATCCTATCAGTTGTAGTTTCCATCGTATTTTGTTACCAGGATTACATAATTTTTAATAAAGTTCATGCCCTTTCTTTAACTGACCGATATCCTGTTAGGCGAACAGCGCGAAACCCCTGGCATAAACACGAGCTCGATGGGGCTGTGTATTCATTATAACAGTAGCAATATAACAGTAGCAATATCAATGTGATAACAGCACTGCAACGAGATAAATAAGGAAACCGCACAAATTTTATTGAATTAGATGGTAGCGAATGCAAGTGCTGTGTTAAAGTCTGTATCAAGAATACTGGTGTCAGTTATTTGCCATTGAGCGAA